TTTTTTTTTCATATATTTTCAAATTTTTGTAGAATAGTAATAATACTATTATAATTATAATTATTATAAGAATCTTGGTCGTTTGATTTGCCGTTTGTATGATTCCGGTTTTGTATCACGAACAGTAGACCAACAGTATTCACCAAATATGTGTCTGATGCCTTTTCCTTCGAAATGTTTCTTAATGATCGCAATGTTCATCACTGAATTCACCCAAATTTGGAAAAAAATCCAAATGATTGTGCAGAAAGTATATTTTGAGCGACATGTTAACTTTCATTGCATGAAAAGAAATCATTTGAAATCATTTCAGCAACAATTTTTTTGTAATTGTCGGCTTTCTTATTGCTCAGAAAATGTTTGATAACGGCTACCAAATCAATAAGTCAGTATCGAGACACGTATATGCTTTCCTAACATCTACTTTCAGAATCTCTTTGAATTTTTCATGAGAGGAAACCTGTGCTGTACAGTATTATAAAAAGACATTTGATGATACTTAAAAAACGTTAATGACTTGATCTGATAAAACGCCGAGATACGAATATTTTTTTTCACATCTGCTTTCAAAATCTCTTTGATTTTTTCATGGGAGGAAAAAAAATCGATTTTTGTCGTACTGTGTTGTAATTTACATTGCTTGTTTAAAAAAGAAATAAAAATATTTTTACACTTTTACCAAACATTTTTATTTTTGTATGTTATATGAATCATATATGTATTTAAATTGATAAATAAGACTGTCATTTTTACCGTTACTTTTTATAATAACAATTTAGTAATGATCTTAAAATTTTTTATGTAACGATAACTAACTAAACGTTAAGATTGTGCTAAAGTTAGGAAAGTCATTTTTAAAAAGTAACTTGTCATATTTACACGATATTTTTTGAAAAAATACAAGTAACGCGTTACTTTTTCATTAATGAGTTTTCTGTGTGTGAGATCTTTTCAATCTCTTATAAGTAACGAGTAACCATTCCAATCTTGGTATTACCGTTAACATTATAAAAAGTTCGTAACATCATTATATGTCAGTGAGGATTTTTGTGCGCGGCAATTTTTATCGAGCAAAGGATTTGTTTGAAATTTTGCGTTACAAACGAAATTTCGTTCGCAAACGCATTTAAAATGTTGCAATCATCGCCATAAGCTTTATGCAATATTTTGAATGCGTTTGTGAACGAAATTTCGTTCGGTAAAAATCGCCGCGCACGTTGTATCGTGTAATATGATTTTTTCACATGATTTCCTTCATAGCTTTTTTATACTTACTGCTATAATTTTGTGTAAAATGTATGTTTAAATTCTTTCTTTTTGTCTTTAAAAGTTTTAGTCATCGTACGTTTTTACTTGCATTATAATTCTAATTTATTGATAGATATAATGTTTGTTTGCAGGAGAACGATAAAATTAACGACATGGATCCATTCTGGAGTAACGCCTGTGATAAGTTTATGGAGCAATTACGCGCGGGCGATGCCGTAAAGAAACGTGGACGTAGAAAAAAAGTGAGTGGTATCGCAACGTCGAAACTTGAAGACGCAGTTAACGATAGCGACAAGGAATCTGATACCAATGCATCGCATTCTCGAATCAAGCCCGAAGACATCAAGAAGGAGATATCGGATTCATCTAATAAGGATGATAAAAATTCGATTTTCAAGGATGTTAAGATTAAGACGGAGGCTGGGTTGAGGAAGGAAGATGATAAACACTCAAGCGACGATTCAGACGAAGTGCCGTTAATTAAAAGAACAAGACAGGAAGTGAAGAAGGAAGATAGTGATTGTGATGAGGAAGTGATATGCCGAAGAAGACGAATTCGTAGGATCAAGCTTGAATCTTCTAGTGGCAGCGAATCCTCGAGCGAAGACAGTGATGTGAGTACCGTATTTGGTCATGGTTCTTCAGTTGCTGACAGACTTCGAGCTAGGAAACGATCTATAGCTAATGTGTCTGAAGGTATGAAGCTTCGTTCGAGAGACACTACTCCTCATAAGGCAAAAACAGAGAAGGAATCCAAATTGTCGCCTCCTAAAGGTGGAACGTCTCAAAAAGCGAAGCCGAAACCGTTGTTTGGTGACGGTAGTGATTTTAGACCTGGTTGGGAAGAGGAGGTTTACGTTTACAAAAAATCTCTAAGAATGCCACCCAGATTGATTACAGTGTCAAAACCATCGCGTTTTCATCGACTATCCACGTCATTGCCAGATTTAGATCCTGGTTCGCCGGCATTGTCTGTCTCGATGGATAGTTCCGACGTGTGTCTCAGTCGTAATAAGAGAGACAGTGACATGGAATCTAATTACAGTTTCAGCATTATGGGACTTGGCAGTAAGATTGATGACGAAGAGGCGACTTCATCAACAACAGTTTCTTGTCCGCCGAAGGCGATGATGAAACATTTCCGATCGGATAACAATTCTATTGTCGATGTTCTCGCGCAGAAAGTCGGTGGTGGTCAGAAAGAGTCAAAAAAGAAACAAAATCTGAAAAGTAATAAGAGCAGTAACGTTAATAAAAGCAATAACGAACCGGAACTTTTACCAACTCCAGGTCTTGCACCGCTTCTGTCATCCGAAACATCAAAGAATCTTAAAAACAAGATTGCGTTGAAGAATAATAGAAATCCAATTAAAGTTACCAATTCCGTCCTCCTCGGTTATTTCCGCAAAGAGACGGTGAATAATTTCCGTGATGCATTCAAGAACAATCACACATTACCCAATGAATTCTCTACTCTAGTATTGAAGAGTAGAACCAGAACGGAGACGAAAGTCTTGAAGAAGGAAACTACTATTCGTGAAGTGTTCGGCGAGGATAGGCCTGCGTCAGCCCCGCCGATGCAAAATCGCGATGACACATCACAAGATGACGATTCGCAAAATGAAACGCCAGAGAATGCATTAGGTAAGGTACGAACATTAAAGCAAAAAGTGGTGTCTCGTTTGAGGAACGCTGGTATACTTCGAAGTCACAAAGCTATTGCGAATTCGAAACGTCATCTATTAACTGCTGAGAGGCGAAAGGATCTCCTCAAATCACTTGCTAATAAGAAACTACGTCGTATTAAGACTGAGATAGAACAAGAAGAGACAAACGACACCAGAGAAGAGGAAAATAACGAGATGGAAGATGATAAGAACGATTTGGAGATTCGTAATAAAAAGAAATTGAAACTTCGACCTGGCCGACGAAAATTCCGTTCTGGATTTGATTACATCCGTAAGAAGAAGAAGCCATTAAAAAAAGACGAGACATTGCCAAAGGAAAGAAAGAGAGTATGTATATATTATACATTTTTACGTATATATTCTTGTCCAATTCATTGGCTTCCATCTCTTTAAGATTTTTATACGTTATTTTTTTAATATTATTTAAAAATGCGATATTTCATTTTACAGCAAAGTCAAGCTAATAAACCAAGCCCGGAGTGCGTAGCCGATATTCAGTCTGAGATTAGAACGTGGGTTATCAAGAAGGGCGTCGGGGAAACTATATTACACCGCGCTGCCCGTCTCGGTTATACGGTAAGATAATGATTACATTGCTACGTCATGCGACAAAAATAACGATTTGCGCGAATTGCAATCTAATCTGCTTATATTTCGCCGCAGGATGTGACTGCTTATTGTCTAGAGAAGCTCAATAGTGCGCCGAGTCCTAAAGACAACGCGGGATATACACCACTTCATGAGGCGTGCTCCAAGGGTCATCTGGAGATCGCAAAACTCTTACTGGCTTACGGTGCGAATGTAAGCGAGAGTGCTAATGGTGGTATCAGGTAATGACTTTCGTCAAATCTTTTATAATAACTTTTCTCATGTCAAATCGACGAGTAACTTGATAAATGTAGGCGATTATAGATTATGATGATTGATAGAGAGTTATATACATATATGCATTATTAGACCACTTCATGAAGCGGCGGAGAATGGTGCTACAGAACTTGTGCGATTGCTATTATCGTACGGTGCCGATCCATTATTGGCTACTTATTCCGGACAAACACCTTTGTTGTTAGCTGTTGATACCGACGCTAATGTCATTCTAGAACAGCACCTGGCTGACATTCAAGGTCGTACCACCATGCCATGGTCATTTGCTGGTCCATCTTCAATTTTTGGTACGTTATTGTTAGCACAAATTCTTCAGAATTCTTAAAAGTTTCATGAGTATCATATATGTGTATACACACACACACACACACGAGCGCGCGCGCGCACACACACACACACACACACACACACACAAAATATATATTCCAAATATATATTTTTAATCTTCTATGAAATTATTTTTAGATCCAGAAGAGACGGGCTACAGTCCGCTCGATGATGTTCCATCGGACAATCCTGAATCAGATGAACTAGATGATATCGAAATGGAAGTAAGCGACATCAACTTGCCTGTCTTGTTCACCTTGAACAACGATCCCGATAAATGGGTGCTGCTTCAAGATCTCATGGCGATTTTGAAGATAAAGAGTCGTGATGCTCTTCTACGTCAAATTAATCCGAAAGCACATTCTGGACCGCCTGCAATCGCGCATCGTGAAGTCATGCGTGAGCTAAAGTTGCCAGATTTCCTGGAACAATCTCGTTGTTGTCACCTGTTGAGCGGCGGCGAAAGGATTAATGTGCGTGGTTCCAAGGTCATTCTTATCAAGTACAACGACAAGGTGAAGTCTCTGTTGAACGTAGAGAAAGTGCTAATCAGCCTTAGGTGACAAGAGGCTTCTCTGGGGCGATCATCTCCCCAGATATCGAAACCATCAACTTCGATTTCAGCTAAGGAACATCAGAAAAAAGTTGAAGGCAAAGCTATAAAACGCGATCGACAACATGGAAAAAAACGACAAGAAACACGTAACAAAAATTCTGCGGACTGAGCGATTTATTCTTTAACTAATGCCCTATCAAAATATAATTAAAATTATATAAAAATATAGCGATTTTTAAGAATTATATTGCTGAACAGTGAATAATATTATAAGAACAGATCATTTTGATTGTTTTATGAAGCATCGAGAAAAATGATCAGGTAATTGCTATGGAAATAATCTTAACTAATGCAAATCTGTTTGTCTGAAAAACTCGTCTCTGAAGAAAGAAAGACTGATCGATACAACAATGAAGATCGGTGCTTTTACGTGTCTAAAGACTGACTTCTCGATTTATCTTATGCTTCGAAGGTAAATCGAACCGATACTGATAATTGATTTTCTCCTCTCGATCTCTTACAGTGCAGAATATAACGAAATGGAGCTTGACTAAAGTGATAAGAGATACGCACATATAATCGGTTCCGTTCCTTCATTCAAGTGATGAATTTGTCAATCGAAATAAAGAAAATCTGTATTCCCGATCGGTAATGCCGATATTATGCCGGGAGCGTAACGCGCAATTAAATTAACTTCGAAGCACATAGTTGTGCAAATACAATTTTAAACAAAACTATCTACTATTTAATGCGCAGCTAAGAGTGGGGAAACAGCTACCTGTGACATTATATAGCAGTATTGAATTGGGATATATATACGTAATATACCCATAGAATGAGGATATTTTATTAATTCTCTTAAGGACTGAACAAATAATCAGAAGTTTGTTAATGTAACGTTTATAAGCGAATGAAAAGAGGGAGACATGTTGTTTGTGGGTGATTAAGGCGATGGGAAAACGAATTCTTTGAGAGTAGATTTTTCTCAATCGTTGAACCAAGTCTCGGAATAGTAATAATAAAAATAATAATAACGTAAATAGTAATAATTATATTAAGAGTGCGAGAAAACGTAGCTGTCATACCAGATATATTTTTATCTCGTACGTGGCTTCAAGAAGTTTCTCTGTTTTTAAGGGAATCTTATCTCTCCGAGATTTGTAGAATTAAAATGCGCGCCTGTGTGCGTTAATATTAGTTTTCCTCTTTGAACTATTATCGAACGCGTCATTGGAAGAGTCAACGTTAAGAGAGTGTAACATAATTACTATCGCGAACGATAACGTTACCACAGTTTAGTCTTTGTTTTTTCCTTATGTTATATAGAAAAGTTGTATATTATGCTGTGCGAGTTATATTTATGAAATGTGTTAATTGACCATTCGAATAGGTGCTTGAAACGCTAAATGAGTTGAATTTCAATTCATTGAGTTCAGAATATTTGATCCATTAAGAAGACACCATCACACATATTAAAGGTGCATATCTGTTGTCTAGTTCTATTTTTAGTATTTCACTATTTTTAATATTCTGTTGCATAACTATACAGTTGTATATGTATATTTGTATGTATATTTATGTATATATGTATATGTTATATATATATATGATATATATTATGTATACATTACAATATGTAAATAAGTACATAATATATATATATATATACAAATATACGTATTATATGGAGCTGTGTGTACATAATATACACTACAAAATCAACTTTTAATTTATACAAGTTCTTCGTTTTTGTACAGCTTCCATTGTGTGTAGCGATTAATTTTAATTTGAATAAAAGGTAGAATCAGCAGGTGTCAATGGCTCAATTTTTGTAATATGGGAAGTGCAATTCGCGAAATAAACATTTTTGTTTCGTTGATGGTCTAATTGTAAATATATGATTATTTCTAAGAGTTTAGAAAAGATAGATAATTATTTTGAAGGACTAAAGCGGCTAAAAAATGCCGTTTGAAAACGCTCACTGTGCAATAATATATCTGTTTTTTACACTTTGTCTTCAAATTATTTCTGTTTTTGTGATTATGCCAGAACAATGTTAACGCGTCGTATCGGCGATCGAAGACTCGCTAAGACAAGAACATTCAAAATTAAGAACAGAATTTTGTATAGAGAGAAAATGCAATTAAGTATATTAAATCAAGGAAAGGGTTAAATGGAAAAATATCTAATAATAAAATTTTTTAAATTTTTATTGTAACTAATTCGATATATAGAATTTTGAGAATTAAAGAAGAGATAAATCAGCGAGTTTCGATCATCAAAGCGATGTCGTGTTTGATTAAAGCAATTTAGGAATGCAAATTTTATATAAGAGAGGAATTATTTTAAACTTGGACGGAACCAATTCGGGGAAAATATGTCGATTGTACTTATTGTCTCACGACGTTCCTGTATTGATTTTTGAACGAACGAAGATATTAGCGTATGCCGAGGAGGAATGTTATGAGATGAGAAAAAAGGATGCGGCCAGATAGTTCGGTTTCGTTTAGGATGCTTAGAATGCTGTAAAATGCGTTTATTTTAACGCCATGTGCAGCACAGAGATTTCAATCGTTATAATCAGTCTCAGGGAAAAATCCACGTGTATTCTTGAAAATAACTTGGTAGTGTACTGACTACAGATGCGTATGCCGATGCGTGTGTACGTGCAAGCGACGCGTATCAGTGCGTATGAGTGTACAGTAGCTAGTTGAAGAAAAAAAATCCCATTACAAGGGATAATTAATTAATATTATTGATATAATTAATGAAAGAACGATTTTATCGAAGTATATAAAAATTTAATTAGACATTGATTTGAAAATAATTTCATTAAGACTATCAAAATAATGATGTAGGATGTTTAAACCGATTGGAGAATGTCAAAACTTTTGCAGTATTGTCATCAATGCTCAAGGGAGCATAAATACCTAGATGCATTAAAATAAAGCATAATTTTGTGAATTTTTTGTAGAAAAACGAAAAGAGACAAAGAACTCGGGTTTATTTCATCATAAAGAACGTATTTTTCTTTCTTTGTCATTTAAATTTTATTAAAAAGTAATAAAAAATGGCGATGTTATTAATGTCTACTTGTTTTAAAAAATATAGTTTGCGGTAATCACTCACTTCCATAAAATTAATCTAAAAGCAAAACGACATAAGCTTTATAAAATTGAAACATATAAATATAATATTTGACTTAGCTGTTTTTCAAATATTGCATTTGAACAAAGCAACAGCTCAGTCAAATATCAATCTTTTATCAAAAATTTTGTTTAATTTTGGCTGTGAACAAAAAACGGAGCATTATTAAAAAAAATCAGTTTTGAGTGTCTAGAAAAAGTGATTGAAAATCGTTTGGTCAAGCCATTTTCAAGATACAGTGGTCATGCATTTTCAAAAGCGTTTCGAAAAAAATGCGTTTACAATCTTACATTTATAATGATCTACTCCACACAGGACCATAAAATAAAATCCTTTGCTGCTCGAAGACTTGATGAAGGCTATTTTGGGTATATGTCTAGTTGTTTAGCGCGCTCGACTTATAATTTTGTGCAACTTCTTCCGTTTTCGTTGGATCGATTTATAATTGTACAAGAATGTTCTTTAAGATATCAAATTTTAAAAATATATTAAAATTATTTTTTAAAATAATTTTAATTATTTTAATAATACATATTTTTAGATCTGTAATATCTATTTAAATTTGTAAAAACTAACAAAATCGTTCTTTTCATTTAATTAATATTGAGTGATATCAATTAATGTGTATTGATACGATGCGATTTGTTGTGCAAGCGACAGCGTGCATTCGGGCGACTCCTTATAATTTTTATTTAGCTAACGATGTCAAGTGGATAGGGGCGCGGTTACATTATGCCGATTGTATATACATATTTTCAGAAAGGAAAAACGAAATAAAGATAAAGAGGAGCGAAACGCAGAAAAGTTACTTTTCTCTCTGACAGAATGATAAGAAACCGTGGTATGTACGTACTGTATCTTTTATTCTTAAGTAGTTAAAGTGTAAGTAGACCGCGGTATTTGTTTATAATAGCGTATTTGTGTACAATATAAAGCATTAACCGACTTCGAGATAGTCACGTTGTATGACATGAGATGAACTAAGTATGTATATATGTTGCGACTACTAAAAATATTATTTACTATTATACTAGTAACTCTGCTATTACTACCGCAACTATAGCTACTATCAATACTGTTGCTGCTGCTGCTACTATTACTACTACTACTACTGCTACTACTACTACTACTACTACTATTACTACTACTACTACCACCACTTATTACTATTATTACTACTACTACTACTACTATTACTATTATCTATGACTACGCGCTTTTTTATTGTACCATATATACATAGTAGTTAAACGATGGATGTACATTTTCTTAGTCGTGTAACATTCACACAACGCCTCTCCCTTCTATTGCCCTCCTTGTATTTATATATTAAAAAAAACTTCTAAATGTGTTAATGCTGCTGCTTTAATGCGGATAAAGAAAAACAGAAGTTATATACAAATATATATATATAAAATATGAACAAATATATAAATAAATATATATATATACAAATATATATTTTATTTCAGAGATTTAGTTCGAAACAACGTTGAAGCTGATGAACAAATTAGAGTCTTACTGTGATTCGTGTAAAGAGGAAATCGTTATTATTGTCATTGCCGTAGTCGTTACAAGCGAGTCACGATGGACCCGACGAATAACTTTCTAAATGAAGAAAAAAATATTTGTGATTTTTTTTCGCTAATAACAATAACGAGTTATCCAATCGATGTAATAAAAACGAGTATTTTTACTGAAACTCTTATTACTATTCACTAACCCCAATCACTTAGTCACTAAAACCAGCTAAAACACTGAACATACATATTAAATATAACAAGATTTCAATTTTTTTACATATCTTATTATATCTCAACATTGCAAAGCGTATATTTTTATCTTTTTATGTATAATAAGATGCAATATATTAAAAATGATAATTAACTTTTAACTTAAAATTGATTTTGAAGATACGTTATACCAAGTAAATTGTTATTTATCTACAAGTATGTAAGCAAATAATTGTTTAATAGAATATTCTTTTACTTTTATCAAATATAACGATATTAATTATAATTTCTGTATCCTCTAAATAAAA